CTTATCTATTTTAGACATAGTATTTTGTATCTTCTTAATTCCATACCCCTATCTTGCCCCTCCCCCTTCCCTCTCCCCACTGGTACCATTTTGTTTTCTATATCTGTGAGTCTGTTTCTGTTTTGTTTTATGCATTCATTTGTTTTATTTTTTTAGATTTCACGTATAAGTGAAAACACAGTATTTGTCTTTCTCTGTCTGATTTATTTCACTAATCATAATACTCTCTAGGTCCATGCACATCATTGCAAATTGCAGAATTTCATTTTTTTTATGGCTGAGTAATATTTCTTTATATATATTATACATTATATATGTATATACCTATATGTATACGTACCACATGTTCTTTATTCATCTGTTGATGGACACTTGGGTTGCTTTCATATCTTGGCTATTGCAAATAATGCTGCTGAAGCAATCTTGAGAAAAAAGAACAAAGCTGCAGGTATCATTCTCTCTGACTTCAGACTATACTACAAAGCTACAGAAATCAAAACAGCATGGTAGTGGCACAAAAATAAACACATAGATCAATGGATCAGAATAGAGAACCCAGAAGTAGATCCATGTGACTATGGTCAATTAGTCTATGACAAAGGAGGCAAAAATCAATTGGAGAAAAGACAGTCTCTTCAATAAGTGGTGCTGGGAAAACTGGACAGCTACATGTAAAAGAATGAGATTAGAACATTTCCTCACACCATACACAAAAATAAACTCAAAATAGGTTAAAGACCTAAATATAAGACTTGAAACCATAAAACTCCTAGAAGAGAACATAGGCAGAATGATCTTTCACATAAATGGTAGTAATATTTTTGGGGGGTCTGTCTCCTAAAGGCAAAAGATAAAAACAAAACAAATAATTGTACATAATTAAACATTCAACAGTATTTTTTTTTTTTTTTTTTTTTTTGCGGTACGCGGGCCTCTCACTGTCACGGCCTCTCCCATTGTGGAGCACAGGCTCCGGACGCGCAGGCTCATCGGCCATGGCTCATGGGCCCAGCCACTCCGCGGCATGTGAGATCTTCCCGGACCGGGGCACGAACCCGTGTCCCCTGCATCGGCAGGCGGACTCTCAACCACTGCGCCACCAGGGAAGCCCAACAGTATTTTTTGATAGATATTTCTTAGTCAAAGTTATGTATGCAGGTTACCACTTTGATTATATGTTCATCTCTATGAAACTTGATATCATGGTTTTTAGTCATTGAAATAAATGTGATGTGTAAATCAGGGTCATAGCAAGGAAGAGATGGTCACTCAAGAAGGGTGATAAAAAGAATTTAATGAAAGGACTGATTGGGATTGACATATATACACTACTATATATAAAATAGGTAACTAATAAGGGCCTACTGTATAGCACAGAGAACTCTACTCAGTAACCTGTAATGGCCTATATGGGAAAAGAATTTTAAAAAGTGTGGATGTATGTATATGTATAACTGATTCACTTTGCTGTACAGCAGAAACTAACACAACATTGTAAATCAACTAGACTCCAATAAAATTTTTTTTAAAAAGTAGGCAGGATAAAGGGTAATCAGCAAGGGTTAGTGAAATCCCAGAAACGTGCAACAGTCAGAAACTGTCACTATTTCTAGGCCTAAAGGAGCAAGGTGGGGAAGCAGTTAATGCAAATCAGCAAGATGTATAGCTGTAGAAGAGTCACGTGACAAGCGCTTTGGTGTTTGATAGAAGATCACAGCCATTGCCAAACTATGGCCCAAAAGGGGCCATGTTTCTCTCCTCCCAACTCTATAGTCTTCTGTCATTATCTCTCATTGGCTGAACTCAATAGGAAGCTAATAGGCAAGGGGCCCTAGCGATGCAGTCTGTAAAGACACAGAGCATGGTGAATAAGAGTGTAAAGTGTATCTGTAAGGGTTAGTGGAGAGTATACAGCACATAATACTATTCTAATATCTAATACCTAAAAAAAAAGGCAGAAAAAGTGGTTACTTTTTAAAAATGATATGATAGTTCTAAGGAAGAAAGAATTCTGAATTGAAAATGAACTGCTTTTCCTCTATTCATTTTTAAATGAGATGAGAATTAAAAGGATATGAAAATGTTTGAATTTTCCTGCTCACAAGATTACTGTTAGATTTTGGTTTGTAAAACTAGAAAAGTTTATTTCATTGATGGCTGTGCTCAAGAGCTATGGTAAATCAGAAAAAGGTGATTTTTACATATTCATAGAGCTAATGATATTTACAAACAAGTCTAGAAGAAATTTCTGTGTGAATTAGTTACTGTTAGTCTGTCCCAGGGCCATAGTCTATGCCAATGTTTTTCAAATTGCATGTCACAAGCCATTTTTCGGTCCTGAAATAAATTTAATGGGTAGTGACTAGGACTTCTAAATGAAATAGTATACCCTGGAACAGAAAATATCAGAGTGCATTTTTATACTAAGAGTAAATACTGGTTTGTGAAACGTTTGTTTTGATTACATATGTATGAATATGTGACTGTGTTGGGATATATATTTCTCAATATGGGCAATGCTTTAAATTTGGAGGGAACGTGGCCCATACTGAGAAATATATATCCCAACACAATACTATTTACTGGGCTCAATCATCTTATAAACGTTTACCCAACAGTGTAGTAAGGGTGAATTGTATTGAAAGGCAATGTAATATATTTGTGTTCTCTCCCTACAGTGCTAAAATTTGTTCCTAGGTGAGTAAATACATATGGAAATTAGAGTGCATTAATATATTTGATGTTGACCAATTCTAAAGATAGTAACAGTTCAAAATGAAGTGAAAATGTATCTTATTGCTCTATTACTGCATAGACTGGCACCCAGTGCCATAAGTCCCTCTGCATTCCCATCATCACACCTCATATTTACTTGCTCTTGGTAATAAGGGGGAAGGGAAATATTCTGCTAAAATGTCTTGAATAATATTGAAGTGATCTTTTGAGCTATAGCCAAAGTAGAGGAATTTCAGTATATGTATTAACATTAATCTGTATCTTGCGAATCTTCAGCTGAAAATATGGAACATTCAGAGAGTATTTAAAGAGGATAATATGAAACTACAAAATGAGTCACTTACATTGAGTTATATTCATATTCTAGCTTCTAGTTCTTTTTCTTTTAAAGAAAAATTAAAATTAGGTCACTTCTGCTTGTAACCTGCATAGTAATTAAATAATCAGCTATTTCCTGTTTAGATTCCATTTCTACTTCTGCTGCAAAATTTCATTTCCTCTCAATATCTCAAGATTAGCGATTCAACAGAATTATCTTTTGTACATGGATAGTATACATGCTTTATATAAATAAGGGGAAAAAACATTTTGTATAAGCTGAAAATTATTTCAGGTCCTTGAAATCAAAATCAAATATTTATTGTATAGGGGGAAACATCTTCATGTATTCTATATAAGCTTTCCATTTTGCAGTTGTTTTCAGAGACTGCCATTTTGAGTTATATTGGAATAGTGTTCCTTCTGACCTTTGAACAAGGATGCATGACTTTGTTTTTGGCATTCTTCCTAACAACACCCCAGAGGGCAGGGTTGTATTCTAGTGTGACATATATTTGAAAATGTCTTGCACAGAGGGTAAATTTGATATGTAAATGTATCAAGAACAGATTCAAAATAGGCTGAAACTTGCATTTATCTGGTTCAGGAAAATTATAAAAGTCTCAACTTTAGTCTTTCTATTGCTATTATTGGTTAAACCAACAGATTTTCTTAAACTTTGCCAAACAGAAAAGCAATGGGTTCTAAAATCTATCTTCATTTTAATTTTTTCTCTCATTTTCTCTCATTTATAGTATAAGTTTATCTAACTCTGATTTCAAAGACTTTACCCTGACTTGTGTCAGTACAAGTTGTCAGAAAGACAACAGGACTATAGGCTATAAAACATGTCCTTCTGCTGCATATTGTGCTGCATTTGAAGCATATGAGAGCTGTTCTTTTTAGGCTGAAATATGTCTATACTCCTGCAGTTGAAAGTACTGATTTGTCAAACATGGAGGACAAATCTTTATTAAGATTATGTTCAGGAATTAAAAAGCTTTAAGAGAAGAAGCAAAACCTTTTAGTTGTCTAATAGTAATAAACTAGAATAGGCTTAGAAAGAGATCTTGAAAGGTTTCATTCAACTTTAGTCTACCTTCTCATTTCTCCTTTTGTACTCGGTATTCCCTTTTAAGGCAATTTTTACCTGGGTGTTCACAGATAAAAGTTGTAAATAATTTGTGTTTCAATTCATTCAGTATTTCATATTTTGTCCGTTCCTGCATGGTCAAAATGGATTATGCTCACACCTCTCCCATTATTTTATTGAGTACCAAATCACTGAGTATACTATTTTGAGTTATGTGTACACTGTTCAGAAGACAAAGCCTATGCCCAGCCCTTGTAAATAGGTAAAAAAATTTATAGAAACTGAATGAAGGTTTAATGCACATGATTGTAATTTACAGTTTAGTTTGAATAAAATGCATTATACTGAAACAAAGTCACTAGAGTTTTAGTTTACCTAGTAATTGATACTAATTGCTTTCAAGAGATTAGTTCCCCCCAACCCCATTTATAATGGCAATGGAATTATTTCTCCCTGACATAGCACTAATGATTTTCATATTTTCCTTGTATAGTTCAAAATGTCATCTTGTTAACAAGAATTCTTTATCAGAGATAAAAATACGTGTTACTAAATTGACAGGATAACTGTTTGTTTTCTAGTTTTCATCTCACTAATAAATGATGCCAACTGGAATGTTTGACTGCCTTCAATTTCATGGAAAATCAAATGACATTCTTTCTCTGAATGTGTAGTCCAATTAATCTTAGTCTTTTGTAAACTAACACTTGATAATCAAATAGAATAGTCATGTACAAGTAGGTTTATGTTACTGAATTAAACCCCTAAATTATTAGATCACATTAAAATTTATTTGCTGAAATTAAGAGAACCTGTGTACTATCATTTAGTCTTCTTTCTCTCTGTTCTACAGAGAAATGATGAAGAGGCAGTTGTGGATAGAGGTGGAACTCGTTCTATTCTCAAAACACACTTTGAGAAAGAAGATTTAGAAGGTAAGACTATTTTGGTGGGGGGGATACCCATTGGTGTTTCAAAGAGAAATGTGAAGTTTGTTGCAATGTGGAGAACTGCAAAAGTTGATATCAGAGTAATAATGGTGGTGGTGGTGGGGTGGATATGACTGTTTTGGTGTACTCTGGAGTGCCAACAGTCAGTCCTGCAAACAATGAGAAGCATTAATTCATTCAACAGATGTTTATTAAACCTCTCCTATATTCCTGTACTGTGTTGTGTGCCAGTCTTTCAATAATCCTTCCTTCAAGGAATTACAATTAATTGGGGAATGAAAAGAAAAAAATTATGACAGACCAACATATTGGGTGTTATGTGACAGGGGAGGACAGGAGGGGCATCTAATTCACCCTATGTTGTCAGAGTAGGCTGTCACTGGAAGGGAGTTAAGGACAATTTGTATTCTAGTTTTACTGAGATATGTATGAGAGAGGGCTGGAGGCATCATTTGTGTGTATTCTCTTCAGTAGGAAGAAGGTCAGATAATTCAACAGGGAGGTAGTATGGTCTAGCAGCTGGTAAAGTATAGAGGCTCTGAAACCAGACTGTACTGGATTCAAATATCACTTCTGTCCCTTACTTGTTATGGAAGCTTTAGCTAATTAATTAACTTCTCTGCACCTGTTTTCTCTGTTGTTAAAATAAGGATAACAGTGGAATATATTTCCTAAATTTTTGAGAAATAAGGGAAAATACTTAGAATAGTACCTGGCCTAAGAGTCACATAAGTATTGACAATTATTATTCCACTGCAATTTAATGTATACATGCCATTAATTCATCTTAATTTTTTAACGAGAAATTATTACTAGTGAGATACAAGGTATGTGGTGTTTTTCATCTTTTTGTTGAAAAGTGAAACCCAAATCATCTTAAGTAAAACTAATCAGAGATAACTCCTAATAATCTACAGCAGCTGAAAAGTAAGTGTTCATTCCCCTTAAGAATTATAGCCACTTAAATTATGGTTAAATTCATTATTATTGGGTCTTATATTTAGTTACAATTAAATAACAGAAGAGTTAACATACTATTTAGAGACAAATTTCAACAACTATACCCACTCTGTGTTTGACATTTTGCTTGATGCACAGAAAGCACCCAAGGTCTGGAAAGGTTATACTTACTGGGCAGGCGTAGTAATTTGCATGCTATCCATATTCATTACACAAATTGAAGGAAGCAGAAACTTGAAAAATCTAACCCAGTAATGTCTAATATAAAGCAAATTTTTCTTTAGATTTGAAAAGCAGCATAGTTACTGTCCTACTTATGTCATACCATGACTTAAGTTATGCTTATATTCACTAAACTCACACAAGAAAACCTAATAAATCAAGAATTTAGTGTAAAAATATACTCAATTCCAGTGAAACATCATCTTGAGTTTAAAGACTGTGATTGATAATCCACACAAAGATAATTAGCAGTTAACAGTAATTTATAAATAATTAGAGTAAAATACTAAATGATCCCTTTGAATGGAAAATACATAATACAAAAATAAGATTTAATAAAGTTACTTTAATTGTTGTATCAACATGTATTACATACGTTTCTTTTTACTGGGAATACACATAACAGTGTACAATGCTTCTTAAAAGAGATTTCTGGTTGGCAAAACACAGTTGGATAAATCAGATTTTGTTCTGTTTGCTGATGTCTATAGTGGGTATTTTAATCCCAGAAGTGAATAACTGTGACTTAGTCACTGGTGATTGAAGTTAACATCATAGAATGCAAAGGCAACATTTTAGAATTTTGAAAGAAAATAAGAAAACCTTATTTATGTTGACTTTCTTAATATTTGTTCTGCTCCCAGATCATATTAAGTAGATAAACATTTCAGCATTTGAGGATGCTGTGGAGGATTCTTTTGTGATGCATACAAAGAATTAATAGATCTGTTAGTAGTTCCCAGATTGGTTACCCTGAATCGGAAAATAATTCAGGGGCAATGAGGTGGATGTCATGGTTCAGGAAAAAATCAACTGGTAGCATATAATATAATATAACGTGTGTAAGTGGGAGAGCACCAGAGAGAAAGGTGGCATTACTGAGGATAAGGGTGGTGGTAGCTTCTCCTTCTGTGTAATTAAAGAAAAAGACCAGGGCACCACTGTTTTTATTTTCTTTCATAATTTCCAAAACTTGAAAGCAACCAAGATGTCCTTTAATGAATAAATAAACTATGTAGTATGCCAATACAATGGAATATTATTCAGTGATAAAAAGAATTGAACTATTGACGTTTCTCTAAGGAAGATATACAAATGGACAGCACGGTCATGAAAAGATATTCAACATCACTAACTATTAAGGAAATGCAAATCAAATCTGTAATGAGATATCACCTCGAACCCATTAGGATGGTTACTATTTTAAAAAAAAACAACAGAAAATAACAAGTGTTGGTGAAGACGTGAAGAAATTGGAACCCTTGTGCACTACTGGTGAGAAAGTAAAATAGTGCAATTGCTATGGAAAGCAGTGTGGAAGTTCCTCAAGAAATTAAAAATAAAATTACCATAGGGCACCATTTTTTAAGAGCTTCTTTAGTAACATAGATGAAATATACCAATAGATAGTTATTTTAAATGAACTAGAATTTGGAATTGCTGCCCCAGAAATTACCTTCAGCTGAAGGGAGCTGCCTCTCCTGTGGCATCTGAATTCAATAAGTTATCAGAGAAGGAGTATAAAGGCCCAGAGTCTTGCCTCAATTTGGTACAATTCTGAAAGGCTGTCTCAGCTTCAGAGCCTCCTGTGGAGTCAACTGAGGCCTTTATTGCAAATGTACCATAATTCAACTTCTTCTACCAAATGCTGCAGCCCACATTTCCTCGCAGGTGTTACTGCTGATAGCTCTCTCTTCAACAAACTCCCTGAACACAAATTTTTGTCTCAGTGTCTGTTTCCTGAGGAATCTGAACCACTCATTGATCATTTTCCTGTTCCCTGAACCATGCCAATAGACCTACTTGGTAATTGATAGGACCATCACATTGGTTTCTTAGCCTGTGGGATTAAGAACTATCGTAGTGGGTGAGAAGGCTCTGAAAGTACTTGCCTTGACGATGATATTAAATGAAAATCAGTATTGCATATGACAGGAAATAGCAGAGATTAGTGCCATCTTTAACGATCTAAAGTATGTCCCAGTCTGGCCACTACAGAAACTTGTCAAAGTCTAGACAATGGTGGTGGACTACTGCAAACTCGGCCAAGTGGTAGCATCAATTGCAGCTACTGTTTCAGATGTAGAATCTTTTTAGAGCAGGTTAACATGACCACAGGTACATGGTATGCAGCTGTTGATTTGGCAAATGCATTTTTTTTCTACCAAGAAGGTATACCAAAAGTAAACATTCTCTTGGGAAGTACAACAATATACATTTATGGTCTGCTCGGCAGCTGTGTTAACTCTCCTACCCTGTATTATAATAGACTCCAAAGGGATTTGGCCTGAGTGGGTGTTCTGCAGAGCATCATTTTGGTTCACTGTGTTGACCAAATGAACGTGAAGTGGCAAGTATGCAGAGGCCTTGATAAGACAGATGCATTCCAGAGTCAGCTTCTCAGTAAATCTGACTAAAGGATAACATTATAGAGTGTGCAACACTGTACTGAGCCTGAAACTCCAGGGTGGATGGATGGATAGGTGGGGTCAGTTTCCACATGGGCCTAATAAAAATAACCCAGTGCCTCTTCAGTTCTTTTATTTTTTATTTTTTTTTATTGAGCAGAGTTCCCTGTGCTATACAGTAGGTCCTTGTTGATTATCCATTTTAAATATAGCAGTGTGTACATGTCAATCCCAAACTCCCTTATCACTTATATGTGGGGAATCTAAAAAAATGATACAAATGAACTTATTTACCAAACAGAAACAGACTCACAGACTTAGGGAACGAATTTATGGTTACCAGGGTGAAGGGTGGGGGGCAGGGATAGTTAGGGAGTGCAGTTATTCTTAAACACCTCCATTCTCTCTTCATTGTTCAGCCGTGTCCAGCTTTTCTCAGAATGGATGCCTGAACTTTTTAAAAATTTAATGAATATTTTATTTTTTCAGATATGATGATTGTTATATTTTCTGCAGGCATAAGAGCAAATTAATAAGTTTCTAAAAATAGTATGTCATTAATAATTAGATGATAACAAAGAGAAGAAAATTCAATAGCTGAAGATGATATGCTATAATTTTAGCCATTTTGACTGAACGGATCGATTTCCAGTCAAAGCAATTCTGTCAAACAACTGGATTGCTTTTTTAAAAAAATTAAAAAAGAATTCTTTTATGGTAAAAAATTCATAACATAAAATTTATTATCACAGCCAATTCTAAGTGTACAGTTCAATAGTGTTAAATATATTTACAATGTTGTGTAAGCAGTGTCAGAACTTTTTCATCTTGGAAAACTGAAACTCTGTAACAACAACTCCCCATTTCCTCCTCCCCTGGCAAACACCATTCTACCTTCTGTTTCTATGAATTTGACTATGCTATATACCTCATAGAAGTGAAATCATGCAGTGTTTTTCCTTTTGTGACTGACTTATTTCACTTAGCCTAATGTCATGAAGGTGTATCCATGCTGTAGTGTTAGAAATTACTTTCCTTTTTAAGGCTGAATGATATCCATTGTATGTGTATACTACATTTTGTTTATCCATTCATCTATCGATGGACATGATTGCTTTCATCTTTTGGCTATTGTGAAATAGTGCTGTACTGTTTGGCTAGTGCTGTTATGAGCATGAGTGTGCAAATATTGCTTCAAGACCCTGCTTTCAATTCTTTTGAGTATATACCCATAAGTGGGATTGCTGGATCATAGGGTCATTCTATTTTTAACTTTTAGAGAAACTGCCATACTGTTTTTCATAGAAAATGCACAATTTTACATTCCTACCAACACTGCGCAAGGGCTCCAATTTCTTCACATCCTCACTAACACTTGCAGTTTTCCAGGTTTTC